TAACCCTCTCCCCATGTATTTATCCCCCTAAATTTGAAACTACCAAGGTTTTAGTCAATAACCCTACAGGGAACCTTCCACCCCTCAACTACCCCATTACCAAACCATACTTTTCCCATATCCTTTCATTATCAAACTTTTCTAATTTGAATCCATAAATTTTGGGGTTTTCCCCTTGGAGAGACATCCTAAGACCTTATTTATTCCCCCTTTTTTAATACCCCCTTTCCCCTTACACACTTCAATCTGTCTCCCCTCATTCTTCATCTTACAAGTGAATGAATTTAAGGGACTTTAATCTTTTTCATAGGGAAAATTTTTAAGCTATTTTTAATTTATCATTCTTTGCTGAATGTTTTCTAACGAATTTTATCTATTCTGTAATAGGGGGGCGAGCTGGGCTGCGTAAACGGTAGGCCTTACTAATGATGTATACAGCGTAATATAACGTGAACTTTTGTTGTACACTTCTTGATATAAATCCCAGTAACTGGTTTACCCTTTTTACGTACGCTTAGGGTTGCTGTCTTGGGGAAGGTTGCTTCTTTCCTAACCCCCAAATCCTTTTTGCAGTCTGTATGGCTAAGTTCAATTATTTAACTTTTATGTGCTAGGGTTATGGGCACTCCGGCTTCAAACCTTGCATTTATCTGATTGAACTGCATTTTTCCACTTTTCTGACCGGTATTAGTTTGTTAAAACCTCCTGAGGTTCCCTGATTCTACTTTGAAACAAATTTTCCCCTCTATCTTTGGTCATCGGTGAATTTGCTCATTTCACTGGTAATTCCCTCATCAGATCATTGATATATTATTATCAACAACAGGCCTGAGACTGATCCCTGTGGAACGCCACTCGTTACAGATCCCCCCACTCTCTTCAATACAGGTGCTCCTCGTTTTACGATGGTTCGACTTAATGATATTTCAGCTTTAACGATGGTTGCAGTAGCAATGCACATTCTTAGTCATTAAACTTTGATAGGATAAACATGTATTCATTTAGTATTTCCTTTTCAGTACTGGTATTTAGTTAGTTTTTCAGTGACAATAATTTATTTACTCGTTTATCATATACAGTGGAACCCCGGATTTCATACTTAATCTGAAACATATCGAAAACCGAAGTAATATTTCCCATAAAAATAATGTAAATCCAATTAATCTGTTCCAGACTCAAAAATATTCACAAAAAAATAATTTTTTTAAAGGATAACTATAGTTTTACATACAGAAAACAGTGAGAAATATTTTTTTTTTTTTTTAAGAAGTCAGCCATCTCCCATCGAGGCAGGGTGACCCAAAAAGAAAGAAAATCCCTAGAAAGAAAATACTTTCATCATCATTCAACACTTTCACCTCACTCACACATAAATCACTGTTTTTGCAGAGGTGCTCAGAATACAACAGTTTAGAAGCATATAAAGATACACAACATATCCTCCAAACTGCCAATATCCCAAACCCTAATTTTAATGATAAATGAACATTACGTATCTTTATTGAAGACTCTTGTTGGCGTATTGAAGAAGGCAGGAGAGGGGGAGAGAGTTGAGGTTATTGTTTGGAAGGGAAATCCCCCTTCATAAGGACTTCAGGTATCAAAGCCCTCTCTTGTGTTACTTCTCTTCTTTGTCTTTTACTGGCACTGGACCCCTGTCACGCTAAAAATCTGTCCAGAGAGCTCTGTTTCTGGCGTCTCTTTAGATTTGCCTAAAATGGGACAAGGTATTGTCACTGAACATGTTGCAGATATGGCTTATAATGAGCTTGGTCAGGGTGATATTTTTCAACAAAGTTTGCACCTCATTCCACTTTGCACACATGTCCTTAATCACTGAAGCAGGCACCTTCTCCCCTCTCTGTTCCTCCTCCTCTGAAGCAATTTCTTCAGCTGCAGTCTGTTGCTGTTTCAGTTGAAGGTCTTGCAGCTCTTCAGTGGTTAGCTCTTCCCTGTGGTCTTCCACCAACTCTTCCACATCCTGTCTGCTCACATCCAACCCTATGGACTTCCCAGAGAGACTGTACATTCAACAACAGGCATAGGGTTGACAGGGTCAGCCTCATACCCTTCAAAATCTTTGTCGAGGACACATTTTGGGCACAATATTCTCCAAGGAGAGTTCAAAGTCCTGGAAGTCAATTCCTGCCAAGCCTTACCTATAAGGCTTATGCATTGGAGGATATTGAAGTGATCCCTCCAGAACTCTCTTAGTTTCAATTCAGTGTCTGAGGTCACTTCAAAGCACCTTTGAAGCATTGCTTAGGTGTAGAGTTTTTTGAAGTTAGAAATGACCTGCTGGTCCATGGGCTGGATGAGAGGAGTGGTGCTAGGAGGCAAGAACTTCACTGTTTATAAAAACTGAAGTCCCTAACAATTGGTCTTCCAAGTCTGGAGGATGAGTAGGAGCATTGTCCAGTACCAGGAGGCACTTGAGTGGCAATTTATTTTCCAGGAGGTATTTTTTCACACTCAGGCCAAACACTTCATGGACCCAGTCAATGAAAATTTTGCCTCGGACCCATGCCTTATTATTAGCTTTCCACAACACACACAATTTACTCGTGACAACATTGTTTTTTCTTGAACACTGGGATTTTCAGAGTGATACACCAGTAAAGGATACACTTTGAAACCCCCACTAGCGTTACCAAGAACAAAAGAGTTAGATTATTCTTCATAGGCTTGCTTGTGTCCTGGCAGTGCCTTTTCCTCCTGTGTGATGTAGGTCTTCTTTGGCATTTTTCTTCAAAAAGAGGCCTGTTTCCATCACAGTTGAACACTTGTTGGGGAGGAATCCTTCAGCCTCCACGTACTCTTTGAATTCATCAACGAATCTTCGGCCGCAGGTTTGTCTGAACTTGCAACCTCACCATGCCTTACAACACTGTGTATGCCACTGTACTTCTTGAATCTGTTGAACCAGCCTCTGCTGGCCTTAAATTCACTAACAGCAGCACTCGTTCCAGGCATTTTCTTTACGAGATCTGCATGCAACTGCCTTGCCTTTTTGCAAATGATCGACTCCGCGCACTATCTCCTGCTAACTGTTTTTCGCTGATCCACACTAACAACATCATCTCCACACTTCTTCGATTGTTTGTGATCTCTGTTTCATTAGTATATATTCACCCCTTTTCACATCTTAGCTTCCTTGATTTCTACTTTCTTTGCCATGGTGGAATAGACTGTTGATTTAGACTTCTCATACATCCTGCAAGCTCGGCTAAACGTACCCCACTTTCATATTTTTCTTCAATCTCTTTCTTGAATTCTATTGTGTTTCTCTCTTTACCAAAGGGCTGGCACTAGGAGCTTTCTTTGGGCCCATGGTGGCTTACTTCGCAGTCGCAGTTGATAAACAAGCACAAAAATTGCGAAAATGTTTTGGATGAATGCTCACTCAATCAGTGACAGAGCCAGACTGAGGCGGCATCCTGGCAGGCGGATGCGTCTGATTTACAAATTCCCGGGACAAGGTCAAAATCCAGAACAAAATTTTGCCCAAAAAAGTGTTCTAAATCTGAAACGTTCAATATCTGGTGTGTGTGAAATCTGGGGTTCCACTGTATTCATATTCGACTTAGGATATTTTTAACTTATGATGGGTTCATCGCAACGTAACTCTATTGTAAGTCAAGGATCACCTGTAGTTACGATTGAGGTTGAAATATGTACATCTCTCTCTACCTATTTCAGTTATCTGTAAATAGTTTTTCACTTTCCATCAATGCTTATGATAAAGAATAAAATTGCACAATATCGTGACTGGAACAAGACAAAAATAGCCCACACATAGGAGAATGAAACTTTTGATGACATTTCGTATGACTAGTTAATGGTCCAAGTCAGACCTAAATGTCGTCATAAGTTTCATTCTCCTATTTGTGGGTTATTTGCATAATGTTTATGATACTTGACTCCAAATATCTGCTTATTTGCTTAATGTACTGCTTTACCTTACCTTATGTTAATAAATAATATCTGTGTTGCAGTATTGTATTTCATCTACTGGACAGATTTTTTTCTCAAAAATTTTCATGCCTGAAAAGTATAGCATTCTTTTGTGAAAGAATATTTTAAGACATGTGATGTACTGTATATTTACAGTTTCTGATTTTCAAGTGTGAGTTTGTATAGTTTTGGTTCAGCTGTTGCTTTATACATTTGTACACGTATGGTATACAATACCGACAAGATGAAGAATTAGACGCACGTGCAACATCTGGGTGTCTTTATTTTAGACATGTCACCATCCATTGGCTTTATCATTACAAATTCAAGGGCATAATAGGAGGTAATCAGTCCCCTCAGCCTTGGAGTTGAAGAGTACCTTAGTTTTGAGCCATCTCAACTCCAAGTCAGAAGGACTGATTACCTCGTATTTTGTATGTAGTCCTACAGTCTTCCCAGTATGTGCCTGAATTTGTATTGATAGAGCACTTGATGGCATAACATCTACAATAAAGATACCCAGATGTTGCATATGTCTAATTTTTCCGTTATACAGTCTTGAAGAGCAGCATTCAGGAAACTAGACAGACATCTATTTAAAACACTTCCTTGTATACGAGACCAATTCTTTTGTAAGGAACAACTGAAGGAGGGGTGTTGATGTTGCAGTTTAAAAACTGTAGTGTAAAGCACCCTTCTGGCAAGACAGTGATGGAGTGAATGATGGTGAAAGTTTTTCCTTTTCGGGCCACCCTGCCTTGGTGGGAATCGGCCAGTGTGATAATAAAATAAATAACTATACAAAGCACTCATCTACTTAGGTAGGCTTAGTTCAACCCTACCCATTCTACACAAACTTAACGGAAAACATTTGACGAGTACATCACTTATTGCTCATTCCTGCCTTTAGATTTTTCCAGTACATACTAAAAGTGATAACATAAAATTATGGGAAAAACTCCATGTGTAATTGCCTCTTATAGTGAAGTGTTAATGTGAATAACAGTATATTAGGTGAAGATAAAGGCTATGCTTATTTTAATAAGTAAATATTCTTCTCTTATTGCAGGTTTCATCTTGGGGTGGGTATGTGTTCCTGATCAACATCATTCCTCTGCACGTGCTAACCCTGATGATCACAGGGCGATTCTCCCACAGAGTTTACGTGGCTTATTCCACACTCTACGTCATTGGTACCATCCTCTCCATGCAGATATCGTTTGTTGGGTTCCAGCCTGTTTCCACTTCTGAACACATGGGGGTATGCATTTTCATGTAGTTGAGGATTGATTTTTTTATTTAGTACTATATGTTGAGGTAGTTTTTTGATTAATGCCATTAAATGCTTCAAATTTTTCTCAGTTCTTCAAGGACATTTTGAAATTTTAGTACATACAGTAAATATTCAATTTAACGAACTCACAGAGGGTCGCACATGGTCAGTAATGGCAGTTGTGGTGGAGATGGTTTTTGTGGTGATCTAAATAATGGACATTTCTGTACCCAATGAACCCAGTTTGTATTTTTTAAATAGACTGCCCAAAGTGGATTTTGTCTAATTTCTGGAGTCCTTTAAAATGTTTTTTTGTAAAATCTTTTTTTGAAAATTGCTCACATAAAGGTTAAAAAACCCTCTTTTGCTAAAACAGAAATTTTACGTTGTTTTAAAAAATTGTGCATGTATTAAGGAAAACTCATATGGGGTAAAAAATTTATGTAATAAAAATTTTATATCAGGTTGGGGGGAGGAAGTAAGTATTCAGATTTTTGGGGAGGGGGACTTTTCAGCAGATGGTCAATAAATATGGGTAAATCATAGAATTGTAGGGGAAAAAAAAGGTAAGGATGCAATGGGGGGGTCTGTGGAGATGCTTTCCCCTGGAAGCAAAGGGAAATTTCCCCTAGAGTATAAAAAGGGAGGAAAATTGAAAATAAAACTCAGTGGGGGCGGGGGGAGTGGGGACATAAGGAAACATTGTAAAAACACCGGGGGCCCAAAAATTTAAAAAACCCTTACCAAAGATATCAGAAACCGGTGGAAAAAGGTAAAGTTCAAAGGAAACTGGAAAAGTATTTCCCAGGTGAGGCTGTGATGGATTTTGGGGGGCAGGGGAACCATGGGTTGATTGGAAGCACCAAAAAATTATACCCCAAGAGTCAAACCGGGGGCCCTAAAGGGTTTTTCGAAGGAAGGGGCCTTTTGGGGGTTGAAAAGGGGAATGTTGGCAACAAGGAAAGGCGGGGCAGGGGAAATGTATTTGTAGGGCAAGTGCAGGGGGGGGAATTAAAAGAACCCATGATTGGGAAATTAAAAGGGTCGGGGTTATTAAAATTTTTAAAAAAAAAAGAAGGAAAGGGGAACAAGGACATAAAACCTGCGGGCAGGAAAGAAGGGGGGCATCTAAAAGGGGAGTGGAATGAGAACATTTTTACGGAAAAGGGGGCATGGATGGTAAAGGGTTTAAGGGAAGCAAAAGACTAACCAGAAAGGGCGAGATGTGAAAAGAATAAGTTTGTGGAGTAAACACGTTGTCAAGGTCAATGGGGGAAAGTAGGAAAAAGGAGGGCCACCGAAGGGAAGGAAAAGGAAGGGGGGGGAAACGGCACGTTTGGTAAATTCTGCGTGCCGTTTATAGGGAGGGAGCTACAAAGTGGTTCGAACTGGAATAAGTACAAAAAAAGGGGCCTTTAGAGATAAAAAAAAAAAAAAAAAAAAAAAAAAACCCAAAAAAAAAAAAAAAAAAAAAAAAAAAAAAAAAAAAAAAAAAAAAAAAAAAAAAAAAAAAAAAAAAAAAAAAAAAAAAAAAAAAAAAAAAAAAAAAAAAAAAAAAGGGAGTCGAGACTACTACAAATGATGACACAGGCATAGATGCGTTTCGAATAAGGCTCAAGAAGGCATACAGTTCACAGTAAAAATTAGCTGAAGATGAAAATGCCCTCGCGAGCTGCCCGGAAACACTGCGCAAATCCGACCCGTCTAAGACTTAAGCCATTGTGTACCAGGGGGTGGCATGAGAATGAAGGGGAAGTGATCAAGAAAAAGAGAGCGGGAACCACCGAGGCAGTTGAGCTTTCGAGAAAGGGGATGAGAAAGAACAGCCCCGAACAGCGGAATTTCCCCGGGGGGGTGGGGAAAAAAGTGAGATGCTACATGAACTTTTAAAAAGGGTAACTAAAGGGGAAGACAAGGTAAAATAGGCGAAGAAAAAAGGGGAGGGGAAAAACAGGGCGGCGAACGAATAAAAAAATGTCTACAAAATATCGGTGACCTCTATAAATGGAAGATTTTGTAATCGTGAGAGGTACATAGTAACGAAGGCAATGGGCATCACGGCGATCAGACAAGGAGGGAAACATTTGTTCTGTAAAGGTCCAACGGGGGAAAGGGCAAAAAAAAGCACCAAGGCAAAAAACGTAACCCCTTGGTGAGGGATGGGTTTTTAAGCTAGAGAGAGTACAGGGGGGGCCGCGGAATAAATCTGGTCACCATAATCGATTTGATAAAACGAGGGTGAATGTAGGCGAAGCAAAGTTCGACATCACCCCCGAAAGATGACAAGGGTTTTAAGAAGGTTTAGGGGCTGTGACAAATTCCCTTTAAAGGTAATGTGAGTTTCCGGGTTAAACCCGACGTCAAAGAGAAGGCCTAAAACCTGCTTATCACGTTCGGGGATACGGGAGCCATAGAGAAAAAGGAGGATGGGAGAAAACAGGCGTCATGAAAGTAATTTGGTAGTTTTGGTACTTGAAAATTTAAACCCATGTTGGGGGCCCAAGGGAAACACGGCGACCCATGCTGGAGAGAAACTGCAATAAGGTGACAGTCAGCGCCTGCACAACAATAGCGAAGTCATAAACAAGAGTGAGACCAAAATTTGGGTGGAAAACAGAGGCCAATCATTTATGCGGGAGAAAAAGTGTTGTGCTTTAGAACACATCCTGAGGGACACCTTCACTTGGACGAAGTCCGGGGAAAAAACATTATTGACCGAACAGGGAAATGTCTGTCAAAAAAAAAAGTTTTTAAGGAAGGATGGTAGATTCCCTGGGAGGCCAAAGGAAGGGGCCGGGGCCAAAATTTTATACCTCCAAGTTGTGTCATATCCTTCTAAAGGGTCAAAAAATTGGCAAAAACTGAGTGATTATTCGCAAAGGCATTCGAACATACGTATCCAAGGTAGTAAGGGGCTATGGTAGAACGCCCTACGAAACCCCTATTGACTACGGAAAAAGACGTTTGTGAGTCTCTAAAAAAACCACATTAAACGTCGATTTACGGGGGCGTTCCATCATTTTTGAAAACTGCCTGTAAGAGAGGGGGCGATAGTGGGGGGCATCATGTCCTGTAGTCCCCGGTTGCGGAAAGGGAGAACAAGGGCGTTTTCCACAGCTGGGGAAGAACTCCTTGTGCCCAAATAAGTTTGAAGAGGTGAAGAGGAAAAAGGGGCAAACCGATGAAATTTGTAACATACGAATATGAATTACAGGCCCAGCGCCGGATGGGCAAGCTGAGAGCTTTGCCCCCAGTTTTGAAGTGTAAAAGGCACTTATTGTTCTTCTCCGAGAAAAAAAGTCCAAGGGGTACTAACTCTCGGCGACTTGAGGAAAAAAACGAGGGATAGAGGACCCTGGGGAAAACGGACCAGATGGTGCCAATTTCAAGGGAAAGTCAAAGGGGTTTTTTGCTATACAACACCAGTGCCCCGTAGAACAGGAGCCGGTCAGGAAGTATTTACCACTAAATTTTTCCTCTTTTTTTTCCCGACGCACTCTAGAAGAAGCAAGGTGAGGGGAAACATAGTCCGCCAACAAGTGCTTTAGCTTCACGGATGACACGGCGAGATCGCACGCTTCGTTTAAAATCACAAGTCTCCAGCGGTTCTATGTACCGGTACCTCCCCCATGCAGCACGTTTCAAACGTACTGCCGGACAAGCAGGAGCCCCAAAGGGCACCACTTCGAGAAATGCCTCCCTGAGGTGGGGGGTATAAAAAGAGAAGTCGGTATAAACGATGTCGAGAAATGTGTGGGAGCCATCAATGAGGATGAGGAGGAACCCACTAAAAGCATGAGGGGTGAGAAAGATCCCCAATTTTCCCGATCAAATGCCAGCGAGGGTAGGGAAGGTGGTGAAAGGGAAAGGGGAAAAAAAAGAATATCGAAAAAGATCGCTTTATGTAAGTCGTAAAAAGACCAGGTGAAATCTAGGTGTGGAGAAGAGCAATGATGATCAGCAAGAGGAGTATGAGACGAGGATCAAAAAATTTGGGGGTACCCCTATTTAAAAAAATGGGGGGGGGAGAGGGAAAAAAAAGCCCCAACTGAATGCCACGTGAGTCACAATGAGCCCCCCCCCCAAAATGTGGGGATTTAAAAACACCAATAACGAAGGGGGGTGGGAAGGGTGAAACAAAAAGGCAAAACGGGATAGAAAATGCCAGAAGGAGAAGATATAAAGAACATATTGAAACCACTTATCAAGTGGAACGGGGTCATGAAGCAGCGAGGATGGACAAATGTTTTCATACGGAAAATCATTGCGTAGAAAAGGGCACTTTTATTAAAGGCCCATCTGGAAAAAATCCCAAAATACAATAAAAAAGCCTGAGATAGGTTGAAAAAAAGGAGGTAATTTTGGTTCTTGTAACAAGCACCACAGGGGGGAAAAACCCGGGAAAACAAACCCCTCTGAAGCTCACCCCCCATTTCCCCCAGGGCCGCGGGTATTCCACTGAAATAGGCCCCTGTTGGCGATAAGAAAATACAGGAATCTGTAGGGAAGGCACCTACGGACTGAGGGGGGTTTGAAAAGCAATGTGGGGCATTGGGAAAATGTTTCAGTAGCGAAGGAACGGAGCGTTTTTCGAAGTGGGGGTTTGAAGATGGAGGAAGGGAAAGGGGAAGGAAAAAGGAAGTAATCATGTCCATTGAAGGTTTTGTCTCTGCAATAATTTTGAAATGGCTTCAAGTGTTTCGAATTCAAAGATGTATGGGAACCATATTGGGGATGGAGGAGGAGGGTGAGTAAAGATTGGGACAGTAATGGACTGTACCAAATAGAGGGGGAGGAAAAGTTAAGGGCTGGGGATGAAGGTGGGGGGGGGGCAGAAAAAGGGAGAAACCTGGGAGGTGAAGAAGAGGGAGAAACTTGGGGGGGAGGGGGGGGAAAGGCAAGTACGAGGAGGAGGGGAAAACTCCACATTGTAATAGAGCCAGAAGAGGGGAAACTAGGTACAAGACTGGAAAAAGGGAACGTGTGGAGGGGGAAGAAGGGAAGGAAGGGGCAAAGAAGATTTGAGCAATTTGGATTTTTTTTTGGCTTCTGGTAAGGGGGGGATTGGTATTAGGGGTCGTACGAGGGGCTTTTCGAATGGGGCTGTGGGAAGGACGCGAAAAATGTGGAACAACTCTTTTTGTCGGGACGTCAGAGCCCAAAGGGCAGCAAAAAAGGGGAAAATGCCGTATGGCTAGGGGGGGTAACAACAGAGGGGGCTGCAAAGATGGGGCCCCCCAAAGGGGGGGTGTTTGGGAAAAACAAAAAAGAAACACGGGGGGAGTCCCCCCCTTGGGGCGGAATAGTAACTGCCATGCATAAGGGAGACCTTTTGCCTTTGAGGCAACGGATTTCAGTTTTATTTTAAATAACCCGGGAACGGCGGGATACAAGGGTGACTTCATTTTCAAATTAAGGCAAGATGGAGGTTTTACTGCAAGAGATTAAATGGTTTTTCGGCACCACAATGGGGATTCGGCCCTAGACTGCAATATTTCGCTGGGGGACCAAAACCCAGCAATTTCTACATTGTTGCGGGTAGGTATCACCTTTGAACTTGTAAAACCATGTCCCCCACAATACAGGGGGGGGAATTCCGGCTGTCAAAGTTTAAAAGAGCCAATTGCAAGGGTCGTCTCCGCCCCCGGCAGGGAAGGACATAAGTGTCCCCCTTTAGGATTGGGAGATCCTGGAGTTCCAGTGTTCAAAAAGCATTGCCCCCATGATGGAAATTTGTTGGGCTATGGTATGGGGGGGAATGACAGTACCCACAAAATTGAGAGAAAGATGTTTTTCAAAGTGAAGGGGTAGTTCGATATTCGAAAAGGGGAGAAAGATCATGAGCTTGGGTGCTTCTGGACAGTGAATGGCGTACCGCCTTTTAAGCGTGAAATGAAATATCTCTGCCCAAAATGACGCAGGAGCCTTTGGCAATCTAGGGTTTGAAGGTAGGCGAAAAAAAAGTTGGGCTTAAATTTAAAAAATTTAGTCCATTGTGGGTCCGAAACTGAGCTGGAGAGGGGGTGCTTGACGTGTCGGTCGTTTTCCAGTAAATGGAAAGGGAACGCGGAGCATCCAGGGGGATTGACATTGCGTTTAGGGTAGGACCGGGGTTGGTCCGGCAAAGAAATTTGGGGGGGCATTCGAAAATTGCGTACCTAGAGGGAAAGCCCGGGGCATATCAAAGGAGAGCGGGTTTTAACAAATCGAAGGAGTCAGTCGAAGGGCCCCCCTACCTGAACGGGTGGGAAACAGCACCGCAAAAGGGACGGGGGATCAGGGGTGTCCGAAGAGTGGTCTAAAACAAGGGGAGGGTCAGAAAGGGGTCGGGAAACAAGAAGGGGCCCGGGGTGTGGTTTCATGGACTAGGGCGCCATGGTTTTGGTTACCCTTTGCTTTTTGTTTTTAAGAAAAAAAAAGAAAGAAAAAAAAAATAAAAACAAAAAAAAAAAAAAAAAAGGGGGGAGCGGGGGGGAAAAGTTCCCAGGAGGGAAAGAAAGGGCCGGAAATCTCCCTCCGCCCCAAAGGATCGACACCCCTAGTAGCGCAGAGCAGCCCTGGAAACCGGCCATACCCTTACCCTTATGCCGTAAACCCGCAATCCGGGGGTAGCAACCTCCATCCCGAGCCCCTCGGGGGGACAAAAGGGGGCGGCCCGGATACCGCCCCAAAGCATACCTCCCTTCAGCCCCCCCCCCGGGAAACCCAAAGGTGGCTTCCGGTAACCCCCCCAAAAGACACCCCAAAATACTCCGGGATACCGAAGGGGGCGGGGGCATCCCTAGCAAACCAGATTCCCGGCAAAAATACGCCACCGCCAAGAAAAACCCCAACGGAATGGGGCGACCCCCGGGGTCCTTTCCCCTACTAGGAACTAGCAGCCCTTGGGAAATCACGAAGGGAAAAAGAGGAAGGGCAAAAGGGAGGGGTGGGAGGAGGAGGAGGGAAAGGAAAAAGGGGGGGAGGGGAGGATGGGGTGGGGGGGGGGAATGGGGGGGATTTGTTCGGTCTGAGGGAAAAAACCGACAGGGGTAATTCCTCAACCAAGAAACCTCTTCACCACGCCAAGGAGCCCCCCCCGAAAAGGCGGGGGTTTCTTTTAAAAACATCCCGAGGCTGAGGGGTTGGGTGATTTGAACATTTAAAGGATGGAACAAAATAGAAAGACGAAGTTATAAAACTGTAGGAAGGAAGGGGAGATGGGGGTTGGCCGAGGAAAGGGTAGAGGGGGGGGGGTAAAAAGGGGTTTTTTTGTGCAAGGGGGTTGGACTTCAGCAAATTTTGTGGCATGTTAGATAAGAGCAGTCCCCCAAGAAGGGTTCCCGAGTTGGGAGGCTCTTTATTTAGGGAATTGAACTGTGCCCTTTCCCGAATTAACCTGAATCCTTCCACATCCCCCCCCAGGGGCTGTATAACCTCCAGGTTTAAAGCGCTTCCCCCTTTTATTATAATAAAAATAGACTTATGTATTGTTGGAGGGGGCAAAGTAACATTTTTGAAAGGATTCAGGGGAATCGGCAGGCCGGTAATTTAGTATGGAGTGGGAAACAGTTCCGGCACTCTGAAGGGGGGTGTTGATATTTTGCAGTTTTTTTTTTAACTGTAATGTATACATGCCTTTGGTAAGACAGTGATGAATGATGATGAAAGTGTTTTTTCTTTTCTTGTTCACCCTGCTTTGGGGGGAAAAACTGCTGATTTTTTTTTTTTTTTCAACAAGTCGGTCGCTCCCACCGAGGCAGGGTGACCCAAAAAAAAAAAGAAAATCCCCAAAAAGAAAATACTTTCATCATTCATTCAACACTTCACCACACTCACACATTATCACGCTTTTGCAGAGGTGCTCAAATACAACAGTTTTGGAGCATACACATATAAAGATACACAACATATCCCTCCAAAAGCCAAAATCCCAAACCCCTCCTTTAAAAGTACAGGCATTGTACTTCCCATTTCCAGGACTTCAAGGTAATAAAAAGAAATCTGTCCTTGATTGATGTAGTGCTTCTGAAGTCAACTTAACCTAACTTTGCATGGTGTCTTCAATTTGACCTTGAAAATATTTTTGACAAGGTTAGGTTCCCCAAATTTTAATATAGAAAGTCAATTTCAACCCAGCTAATATAACATGACAATGGGGGTTACTTCTGCTCTCTGGTATGTTTTCTGTATTTAGTAAAGTTTTGTTTCAGTGCTGATATCACTTAAAATTTAATGTTGAAAGGAATGAGAGAAGAGAAAAGAAAGTAATTAATAAATGTTTTGGCTTTTCATAATCCTTAGGTCATCACAAATATGCTTATGATTATATAGCTGCTTTCATCAGATACTCTAGCAAAACTAAAACCAGGGTTTTTTTGTGCAGACAATGGCAGATCAGTGGATTGATTTGAAAGAGGTAGTATTAGTTTTGGGTCCTTAGATGCAAATAGGTAAACACAAATGTAATTGCATTCATATTGTACATGTATGGATGTGTTTTAAAATAACCACTGTGAAAAATAGTGAATTTCCAAATGCTTTTTTTGATTTTCTCACAGCTACTTGAAATGTATTGAGAAAAATCATGAAAACGATTGAAAATTCACTATTTTTTCACAATGATTATTTTGCGTATTGTAATATCACTAGTTTACAGTGATCTTATTGCATCATATGAATGGTGTATATAAAGGAATGGAAGCATATTAAAGTTCTTTTATGTTTTCAGGCATTTGGTGTGTTTGGATTGTGCCAGATACATGCTTTTGTAGACTACGTGCGTTCCCGCCTGAACAAGATACAGTTTGAGGTGCTGTTTCGGGCTGTAATCTCACCGTTGCTGTAACAGGAATATTGGTGCTGGTAGTGCTGACAGCTATGGGCAAGATTGCACCATGGACTGGAAGATTCTACTCTCTTCTAGATCCATCATACGCCAAGAACAACATCCCCATCATTTGCCTCCGTGTCTGAGCATCAGCCCACAGCCTGGTCGTCATTTTACTTTGACTTACAGATGTTGACATTCATGTTCCCCGTGGGTCTATATTTCTGCTTCACTAAACTTACAGATGAGAACATTTTCATCATTCTTTATGGTGTTCTCAGCATATATTTTGCAGTAAGTACAATATGTTGTGATACAACATATACGCATAATGTACTCTTAGGAGTTATTATTTTGGACTTGTAGCATTTAGGATCCTAGTGTAGGTGATAGGCTCTTTGCTTTTATGTGTTTTCACTATTGTAACTGGGTGGGAGTGGGGCGAGCTGAGGATGGCAGTTGTTAGACCAGTCAGATGTGAAAAATTGTCTGTGATACTGACAAGTATGGAAATGACACTTATGTACAGTTGGGGACTTGAGTCCTGGAAATGGGAAGTACAATGCCTGCACTTTAAAGGAGGGGTTTGGGATATTGGCAGTTTGGAGGGATATGTTGTGTATCTTTATACGTATATGCTTCTAAACTGTTGTATTCTGAGCACCTCTGCAAAAGCAGTGATAATGTGTGAGTGTGTGAAAGTGTTGAATGATGATGAAAGTATTTTCTTTCTTTTTTGGGTCACCCTGCCTCGGTGGGAGACGACCGACAAAAAAAAAAAAAAAAAAAAAAATATATATATATATATATATATATTAATGGAATATCCTTCAAGTGGTGGGTGCCTTGAATGCAGTTGGCTCTTGATCCAAGGAATTGAAGATATCCTCCCTCTTTCTTGGGTTGAAACTGATTACCTCCCATTCCCTAGGCATTGTATGTTCCCTGTGGGTTTAATGCTCTGTTTACCATTTTTCCAGTTTTTTTGTGAACTTAGAAATTGGATGAGATTTATCTTCAATAAGATGAAGATAAATTATCAATTCTGAAGATCAGTTTTCTGTTTTATTGGAGATATTGGCAGTTTGGAGGGATGTGTTGTGTATCTCTATACGTATATGCTTCTAAACTGTTGTATTCTGAGCACCTCTGCAAAAGCAGTGATAATGTGTGAGTGTGTGAAAGTGTTGAATGATGATGAAAGTAATTTTCTTTTTGGGGATTTTCTTTCTTTTTTTTGGTCACCCTGCCTCGGTGGGAGACGACCAACTTGTTGAGAAAAAAAAAAAAAAAAAAAGTGATAGTCTACATATTATAGCTGAAAATATAGTAGTATGTTAGAAATGCCTCCATTTACACTGAAATGTCAAAATATGCAATACAGCAATACCTTGCATAGTATGGTTTAATTCATGTCGAAAAAATGTACTATGCAATACTGTACTGGTCAAGGTATTAAGTGTTTTAATGTAATGTGTTCCAACAATACGATTAAATGCGTTGGATTGCAAAAACATGTATTATTATTATTTTAATCAAGGGGGAAGCGCTAAACCCGGAGGATTATACAGCGCCTGGGGGGGGGGGATGTGGAAGGCATTCAGGCTTAATTCGGGGAACTGGAGCACAGATCCAATTCCCTAAATCAAGAGCCCCTCACCAACATCAAGGAACCTTCCTTGAGGGGCAAAAACATGCAGCCATTTGCTTAGTACAAATCAGTGCACATGAAACTTTTGCACACTTGCAAATAAAGAAGTTACCAAAGATAATGAAAAAATAGTAAAAAAAAAAAGGTAATTTTTACTTAGAAAAATAGTTGAACAATGTAGTTGGCACAGTTTTTCTTTTTTTTTTTCAGCATACATTCTTTTGTAATTGTCCCCACTTGTTATAACCCAACTGACTCCTTTTACATTTACCAAGAGAGTACTAGGCATAGTACTGACATTTACTGAGGATGGTACAAGGTGTAGTAATGATTACGATCATAATGCTATTTTGTATTCTTCTTTCATGGAAGATAGGTGTTGGGGAGCATTATACCTGTACAGCACCAATGGGGATTAGGAAACATCTGATCCAAGGGAAGGGAAGGGTAGGATCAGAACCCCTTACCAGCATCAAGAACCTCCCTTGTGGAGACTAATACTGTTAGTGCACCTTGATATTTTGTTCTGTTCCCTTTTTATTGAGATACCTAAAAAAACGAAAATTGCTCCTTGATTCCTAGAAATTGGAGTATCCCTTTCTATTGTATCACAATAACCTCCCATTTCTCAGCACTGTATGAACCTTATGGGTTTAGCACTTCCCTATTGTATATACTTCATTTTATTTTTAATAGCACATCAAGCCATTTCCCACCAAGGCAGATGACCCAAAAAGATAAGATACACATTCATTATGCACAATACATCACTTATCTTGCAGGGGCACTCCTACACTACAGTTCAACTTCAACGCCTTTCCCCTCGAGTGCAGGCACTGTACTTTTCCCACCTCCTGGACTAGTGTGACTTGCCAGTTTCCTTGAATTCTTTCATGTTACATTGCTTACACACCAAACAGTTCATCAAGGTCATTAAAACTAGTCAAAACTCGTTTGTCTAACATGCGCCTGGAAGTCCATGCCCGTGACACACAAACCTCCGTTACCATCCCTCCAACTCTTTCCTAGGCTGACCCCTACCCAGCTTTTCACTACAGATTTATATTCTCCAAGTCATTCAGTTTTTTTGTCTACCTCGAAATGCCAAACCACATCAACTCTGCATTCACACTACACTTCTCCCACTGCCTCCTGGTTGCAACCTTCACCACCCATGCTTCACACCCATATAAGAGCTATTGGTTTAACTTTCATATATATTATTCCCCTTCACTTCATGATAACAATTTGTTTCTTCTACATTCCTCAGTGCACCACTCGCCTTTCTCCCCCTCGTCTTTTCAATAGATCCCCTGCTGATAAGTCACTCCAAAATGTCAAACATTATTCATACTCCCTCCAATCTGGATATTCATTCCTTCATTACCTAAATTTTTATCACGTTACTCTTTCATATATTCACTAATTTCCTTCTTTTACACACCCTTCCAAACTTATGTCATCAGCCTCTTGCTAACTTTTCAGAATCTCCCAAAAAGCACGTCTTCTGCAAATAGCAAACTGACAAACTCGTTTCGATTCTTCCCTCTTTAATCCCACACCCAAGCATTCACTCTTACAACCCCCATCTATTAATATTCGGAGCAATCATGTGACATCACACATCCCTGTCTAAGGCCTGCTTTTACTGGGAAATAATTTTCCTCACCTACATGCTTTAACAGTTCCACTATCCTCAAAGACTCTTCACTGCTTCATAACCTACCTCCTTGTGCAGGCTTACTTCAGCCCGGTAACATCTTCAGGACAGTATTACCAATGCTGGCTCCTCCTCCAGGAAAATTAATGAATAGAAAAAGAACAAAAACTGACAAACACTAATTATATTTAGAAAATTTTAAAATATAAAACACTTAAATATGAAATATTGTTCCTACTTAAAGAAAATGAAAAAAAATAAAATAATGCGGAATCAACCTAATAAGATATATAAAACTTGGGTGTCTGGGGTGGGGACACTGCGTTGTTGAAATTGGGAGCCGTTCCATTTGAGTGGGGGGGGGGGGGGGGTCGCAGGTGTTGGTGGACAACCACACGGCTCGTTCTTCACGAGATTTTATAGCAGTCACTGCTGTATAATCCTCCCGGTTTAGCGCTCGCCCCTTGAATATAATAATAATAATTGACAGCAGTCATAAGCCGTCCAGTGATGACAGGAAAGCTGGTTTTCTTTCCTCCAACTGCAATGGTGAGTGTTTACCTTCCTGCTACTTCTTACGCAAACAGGTAAGTGGATCAGTATTTGGGACCGTCTTCAGAACGTTAGTGCTGTATAGGCCGGGTTGCTTAGCGCTTTTTTTTATAATAATATTCAAAAACGTTAGCCTCCTTCAATTCTACTCGTTGATGGCAGTGACCCTCTCTGTCATTTCAAGCTGGTAAAGAGAGACAGCTTACCCATTGTTTAAGAAATTTACTTTCCCTGATTAGTACAATAGCCTAAAAGATGTGAATTATTATAACATTTAACCTATCAAGACTGAAAGACTAAGTTAATTGGCAAAAGTGAAGCGGTCAACCAATAAGTCCCACTAGAATAAAATATGAGCAGGCATGTTACTTACTGTAGTGTTGGGACTGTGAGTCGAGTGATGTACGTTTGACCGGAGCCCACACGTCACTCTTTTGGGGGGGGGGAGAAGGGAAAGGGTAAAGGGATAGCGGAGCTAGAGCTGACCCTACCTTAACAAGCAGCCGGCAATCAAACTATCATTTTTCGGGAGGGGGAAAAGGGAGAAGGGGGAATACGAGAGTGGGAGTTTACCCTACCTTAAAAGATAGCCGGCAATGAACTATTGTTTACTATATCTCCTCGCTACTCCTATCTATTGAACTTTTCCCTCACACACCAAATTCCATACACGAGCAACCTCTGCCACATTGTCCCCTATCTACCCTATCATATGCCTTTTTCCAAATCCTTAAAGGCAATAAAAACCTCTGTACCCTTATCTAAATATTGTCACTGCTATATGTTTTTACTGTAAATACTTGGTCGAACACACTCCTAAAGCCTCCTCGATTATCCTGTGATCCTCACTCGCATCTTGCTTCTTAGTTTCGTTTAATAATTACCATATACTTCATGTATTATGGGAGCACAAAACACATAGGATTATACACACTTGTGGGGAAAGGGGGGGTGATGGAAGAACATTTCAGGTTTACTTCAGGTAGTTGGATCCCAGATCCAATTTTCCTAGGGGCATGTAAGAGTAAAGCTAAACCATAGGATTCTTACATGATTATTTAGTAGAAAATACATACACCATAAGTTCCATGTAGTGTGACCTAAATGGACACATGTTTTATGATAATCAAAAGGGAAGAACAGGCCAATTCCTTGGATCAAGGGTCATTCACTGGTGCTAAAGCTACCCGCTTCCAACACGAGGGCCCGGGTTCGATTCCCGGCGGTGGAAATTCCGACACGTAGCTACACTATTGTTCCTGTTCACTAGCAGCAATAGGTTACCTGGTGTTAGTCGACTGGTAGTGGTCGCAGCCTGGGGGACAAGATTAAGGTCGCACAATGGAAAATAAGTTAGACAGTTCTCGATGACGCACTGACTTTCTTGGGTTTCCTGGTGGCTAACCCTCCGGGGTTAAAAATCCGAACGAAACT